ACTGAATTTCAATATTTAAGTTCTCTAAACATATCATCAGCAGAAAGTAAGAAAGGAGACAGAGAACTATTTCTCAACTCCGAGGAGGTCAGAGCCCAGGATAATTAACTGGCTGATGCTGTCATAAGAGCAACTCAGATGAGACCAAATAAAAAATCTTCCAGTAAGCACTGTTTTTAAAGCACTGGAATGAGGGACCTTAAAAAAAAACCATGGGACATTTTTCCACTTGGAGGGAAAAGGCAGTAAAGGTTCTTCTTTGTGTGAAAAGAACCAGGAAATAGCTTCCTGGACTCAGGGACATGACCCAGGGAGAATATAAGACTTCTCCAAGTCCCTATTCTTCCCCCAAAAATCTCAGAATGAAACAGAGAAAACCAAAGTGGAAACAATGATAGAGATATAGAAACTTAATATGGCCACACCACCAGCCAAATTCTGAGGAGGAACAGCCCAAGAATAAATCTGCATCAACCTTTCCCCATATACCTCCAAACGGGATAGCACAGCCTGTATATCTCTCAGCATGTGCTGGGCCATAACCAGTCGAACACGAGGCTCACTCTGGAAATAAAAAATCAAGCACGGAAAAAGCAAATGGTCAAAACGTGGGTGAAAACATTAGCCCCAGAATCCTCCCCAAACCGGGCCTCTGCCTTCTCACAGAAACGGCAGTTGGAAGGACCCGCAGAGGCCGGATAGTTCAACCCATACCTGAAAAAGAATCCACTCTACAACATACCCATCAACTGGTCATCCAGCCTTTCCTCAAAGACCTGCAGTGAGAGGGAACTCACTGCCTTCCGAGGCAGCCCATTACACATTTGGATTAGAATCTAATTGTTGGTTAGTTTTTCTTTATAGCAAGTCTAAATCTGCCTCTTTGCAACTTCAACCCATTGCTTCTAGTTCTGCCCCCTGGGCTAAGCAGACAAAGGCTCATCCCTCTTCTACATGACAACCCTTCAAGTACTTGAAGACAACTATCACATCCTCCCTATCTCTTCCCTTCCCTAGGCTAGACATCCCCAATTCCTTCAACCAGTCCTCATATGACATGATGTTGAGGCCCTTCACCATTCTAGTTGCCCTCCTCCAGATGCTCTTCAGCTTATCAATGTCCTTCCTAAAACGTGGTAGCCAGGACACATAATAGATGTCATCTCTGTACTTAGTAGATAATTCCACTGTACACACTGCACGTTGTGTACAAATCCCCATCTCAAATTCATTCCCTCCCAAATACCCTGCCCTGATGTTCCCAGCCCCTGGATACCTGGATTGGCGCCTGTTCCATGTTTATATGAACATCCACGGCAGAGCCGTCGCTCTGGGGGAGGGGGGAGGGGAGGGAAGGGGCAGGGAAGGGGAAGAGAGGATGCTGTGACAACTGAGCTCTGGGAGAACTCAGGTATCCATGCCCCCACCCCCAACTCTCTCCCTCCAACCTCACTACCCAAGAAAGAGACAGGATATCAGGCCCTCCAGATCCCCACCTTCCAACCCAAAGACCTAAGTATCTAGCCTTTCAATTTTTCCCACCCAGCCACTTCCATCAACCTCCCCCCATCAAAGACACAGCTTTGCCTTTCAGCTTACAGGGAGATTGAAGGTCCCAACCATGACATAACTGTTAGCATTTCTGTCGTGGACAGGTGCACCAGGACCTCGAGGACCAGATGGGGGCCCTCCACCATGGGTGGCTGAGGGAGATCCTGCTCCCAAGGCAACCCCAGAGGATGGAGGCTGGGTCTGTGGAGGGGCCCGCTCCACTAGGTGGATCACCTTTCCCCCAACATCTGTAGTAAAGGAAAAAAGGGAAGAGAGGAGTGAGGGAAGAATCAGCTAAGTACCTCAACCCTCCTCCTTACCCAGAAAATAACCCTTCCCCTAAAGCCCCATCTAGCCCCTCACTGTATTCCTGTAGCTTCTTCTCATCCTGCAGAACTCGCCCCTGATATATGAGTCTCTGTTTCTCAGAAGGGATGCTGACTGAGGCAGCAATATGCTCCTTAAATTCCTTCACTGTCATCTACAGAGACAAAAAGGAACAGGAAGAAAGGTCAGAGAATATCTAATGCAGAACATCAGGAAATTAGTGGGGGTGGGGGGTGAGTCATTTAACAGTTATAAAGTCATTGTCCATTTTATTACATTTATGAAGTATCCACTGCCTAACTGCGCTAAGAAATACTTGATAGAAAACAGCAATTTTTAAAAATGCAATTTATTATTTATTTTTTACATTCTTTTCTTTTTAAATTTTGAATTCCAAATTCTCTCCCTTCCTCCCTCCCAGTCCCTCCCACACCCACTGAGAAGGCAAGCAATATGATGTGAAATCACAGCAAAGGTTTTAAATGGAAATTAAACGGCACGTCCAAGAGAGAATTAGGACATAAGAACAGATTCCATCAAGCTCTACATTCTCTCCCTTCTCTTTGGTTCTATATCTGGAGTTACAGGTAAGGAGGTCCTTACCATAAGTATAGGTATGACTAATACGGGAACATTTTGTGGGGGAAAAGGAACTGTAATTAGGCACAGAGTCCCAAACTGTGCTTAGTTTATCAAACTAGATTAGTGACTCACGCATACCCAAAGAAATGGGCTTTCTGTATATCTATCTATAAGTGCATGCATAACCGTGTACATATGTATGTGTAATACATACATATTTTTAAGATGAAATTCTTACATTGCTCTCTATACGTGAAGATAACAATAGTAACAATAAACATTTATGTAGCATTTTACAGTTTTGCAAAAGCAAACAACACAGTAAGACAGGTATTATAAATTTGTCATCTCTATTTCACCCATAAGGAAATCTAGGTTTAGAGATGTTTAGTGATTTCACCCAAGATCATTTAGCTAGTATCAGAGCTAGGAATCAAACCCACATCTTTCCTACCTCCAAGTGTACTATTATTTCCACAATACTGATTGACTAGACCAGACTTATGCTGTATCCCAACCCAGTATTTTGTCTCCAGGTACCAGGAAATGATCTGAAGTGATGAATGGTTTTCCAAAATTTGGGAATATCACCAAACAACCCTATTTCTAGGCTCTTCAATTTCATCCATATTGTACTTTCTCTACTGATATAGCTCACAAGTATTCTAATACTTAACAATTTAATAACCTACTGTAACCAAAAAATTCATTGTCTATAGGCCAATCCTGTGATGATCAACCTCTTTTGAGTACAGTATTTCTCAAATGACAAGTTTTTAGTACACTGTTGGATCCATAATCAAAGCCTTTCCAGCTTGGTGGGACTCAGAAGACTTGCAGTTTTGTTGGCCTTGCCTTAGAAAGCCAAACTATGACGAGCCAACAATGTTAAAGAAAGAAACAGCCCTAATTACCCTCATGCTTTCTCAAGTCTACTTGCGGTTTCTGCCAGTGTACCCTGCCCCCCATCCCCACCCCCACCCCCCACAGGTTCCTATCCTTTCTCATCACAGCTGGAGGCTCTTCAAGGACAAGAACTACAAACTCTTGCTGCCTCTAGGATTCTCCTAAAGGTATACTTATACATACAATAGAGGCAGAGAGACTGTATACTCTTAGGAAATGTATCTCCCTATGACCCAAACAACAATCAGAACACTTTCATAAGATATTTCTTTATCTACAAAATGAAAAGAACTAGATGATCTCTAAACTACTTTCCAGTTCTAAAATCCACTAACTAATGTTCAATATGAATAATATATGTAAATAGAAGACGGAGAATCTGGGGGGTTGTTGCCTCAGGATGAAAAAGTGGTTAAGGGAAAGCCTTTTACAAAATCTCCCAAAACCTCTGAACCCTTAGTTCTCACTCACCTCTGCCCCCACAGTGAAGGTTCGAGTCTGGGAATCCAAGGTCTTCACCAGTACCTCCAAGCTGGCTGGTTCCTCCATAGCACTGCTGCTACTGTCACTGGGTTCCATGACCAATACGCTGGAGAAAGAAGAGAGGAAGACCAAGTCGTTATCTCAGGGCCTAGCTAAGTTCCTACATCCCAAGTGCTGATCCAAACTCTACCATAGCTCCCCAAGGAATCCAACCCCCACCCCAACTCCAAGCACACACACATCCTACTTCTAACCCTGGGTGAGGGGGAGAGAAAAAACAGGAGCAGGAACTGAAACGGGGGAGAGGATTTGAAATAACGCCTATAACATCAAGGCAGCATCTGTCAGGCCAGGAATCATAACCCAAAGGTTGACATGAATGAGAAGGAGGATGTGGGGAAGGAGGGGAAGGGGTCCAAGGTAAGGGCCTAAATAAGGTTGGGATGAGCCCCTTCTATAAAGAAGGTGAGAAGGGACCTGTGAGATGCGCCACGCACGCGCACCATGCCACGCCCACCGCGATAGGGAGCTCCTCGAGCCTGCTTCTGTCGCGACAGATCAGGAAATCAGGACAATGACGAACAGAAAAGGGAGGCCCCGGTCTAGCTGGATGTCACCCCCTCCCCTCGGTGGCACAACAAGAACTATGCACAAACAAACACACGTACATACATATACGTACATATACATACATACACACACACTAGCTGGTACACACACAACACACATACACACACCTGCCCCGCAGCTCCGCCCCCGGCCTCCCGGCGGCAACGCCACTTCCGGTCCTGCCCCTAAGCTTCCGCCTACGAACACTTCCTGTTCCCCGATAGAAAAGGGGGGGGGGGTCGCGAGACGGCACTTCCGGTTCCCCCAGTCCCCAAGATTTCCTTCTGTGGGGTACGACGAGGAAAGGGGCGGCCCCGACTATCGGGGAACCCCTAAGAAGAAACGAGTCGGGGCCCGGCCTAGGTGGGAGGGAGCCGAGCACCCACAGGAGCCACCTTCGCCGCCTCCCGGGGGACCTTACTGCGCTTGCGCAAACCACATTGCGCCTGCGCAGATGCTTGAGGACCGCCCCACTGATTGGATTCACAAGTCTGCAGTGCGCGCCTGCTCCCGAGGAGGGTGGGGAGGTGGCGTAGTGGATGACTACAGTAAATGCCTGAAAGTGATTTTCGAGCTGGGCCTTTCCGCCTACTTCGCGAAAGGCCTGGGCTCTAGTGAACGGGTCACGTGTGCCTTTGGCATGCGGGTTGCTCCTCTAATACATGAGGAAATTCGTGGTTGGCAACCTTCATCGGACGGCAGTGTTTTAGATACCTAAAATAAACCCATTCCCATCCCTCCTTAGGTAACCTTCCAACGGGGCGTTTAGGGGCGGTGAAGGTTGGGGCTGCCACCATGTTGATTCAGGGGGCACGAGCAGCGGCCATATTTCTTTTGGGCAACGCGAAGTTTTTCCAGGGTGGAATTAAGGCGTGGGCGGGTTTGCTTGTTTTTTTTCATTCCTAAGTGTCACGAGGGTAATAAAGCCACTCGTTGATATCTCTGCTGAGGGACTATCTGCTTTAAATTGAGGGGGCGGGGGAGAGGAAAAGAGGACACCATATTTTTTGAGGGTGGAGATTGCTGCCATTTTGTTACTCTTGGTTAAGCTAGTGGGGGAAGGGAAATGGATGGTGGTAACTGGCAGCCGGAGAAACCACAGATCGGGAATGGGGGAACCAGAGGAGGTCTGGTCCATAGACTGGACCATAGAGGGGGGTGACAAGTCGAGAGAGTGGTGCTAGGTGGTTAGGGACAATCTTTGGAGGTCCCCCAGGAGCTAGGAGGGTTGCAGTTTCAAAATTGTAAGGGACGTTATTCCAACCCATATCGCAATAAAAGCTCCTCCCGAAGAAATCTCCAATTAAGTGGTCTTCAAGACTCTGCTTTGAAGACCTGGTTGAGAGAGAACTACTGCTTTTTAACAGCCCATTCTGCTTTTAGATAGCTTTCACTGTCAAGATGGTCTTTTTTTTTGCATTGGGTCTTCAGATGTGCTAAAGACAAAAATTGATTTACCCAGTGCAATTTTATGAATTGCCTACTTAAATCCAACCAGTTAGATCTCGGCCTATATAATAGGCTGCATAAAAAGAGATATGTTGTCCAGAATGTGCAAAATAGTTTTGTGATACTCAGCCCTCAGATCACATTTGGAGTAATGTGTTCACTTTAAGGTACCACATTTTAGAAAGGACAGTGGGAGGCATTCAAAGGAGGACAACCAGGATGGTGAAGGACTTGGAGGAATTTTACCTACATATATATACCCACACATATACATTTGTTGTTGTTCAGTTGTGTCCAACCCTTGGTGACCTCATTTGGGGTTTTCTTGGCAAAGATAGAGGTGAAGTGGTTTGCTGTTTCCCTTCTCCAATTCATTTTACAAATGAGGAAACAGACAAACAGCATTAAGTGACTTGCCCAGGGTTACACAGCTAATAAATGTCTGAAGCAAAATTTGAACTCAGGTCTTCCTGACTCCAGGCCTGGGCCATTTAACTGTCCCTAATATACATAAGTAAACACACATATACAAATATATGCATAACTGGTTGAAGAGCTGTTATCTGTTAGAGTAATTATACCATTTCTCTGTGGCCCCAGCTGGCAGAACTTTGAACAATGGACAGATATACTGGGTTTCTTCCTAATGGAACCCCCCCCCAAGTGGAAGGTTCTTTAGATGGTGGATTTCCCCTCACTGGAGTTATTCAAGCAAATACCAGATGACTAGGCATAAAGTATGATGTAGAGTGGACTTGTTTAAAGTATAGGCATATGGCCCCTGCTTGGGGGGGAGGAGGAGATAGTGGATTATATGTTCCTTGTTGAGCAGGGTTCCAACTCAGATTTTATAAGTTTGGCTGTACTATAATGTCCTAAAATTTGTCTTGAATCCTTGTTTCCCACTGTTGTTTAACCCTTGTATGCATTTCTTTTTGAACATTTAAGCTGCAAATGGAATTGTTTCCCAAACTTTCTGACCTCCTTATCCTATTCATCCTCTCCTTAGAGTCCATCCATCTTCAAGTGATATCTCCTTCAGATAGTGGTAATCTTCTCATCCCCCAACTGATCCTACTGTTTTACAGTGAGGTGTATTTTGTTTACATCATATACTTTTGCTCTTTGTGCTATACTTACTTATGTATGCTTTATGCACTACGAGATTGTGAGTTCAGGGAGGATAGATAGCAGAAGGTAATTTGGTTTAATGGAAAGAGTACTGGACTTGTCTTTACAACAAGACTAATGTGAAAATGTTTAATATGAATATATATGTAGAGCCTATATCAGATTGCACGCCATCTTGGGATGGGGGGAGGAAAGGAAAGGGGAAAAATTTGGAACGCAAAATCTTATGGAAGTGAATATTGAAAACTAAAAATAAATAAACTTTTTAAAAAATTATAAAAGAGTACTGGACTTGGAGTCGGAAGACTTGGATTGATTGCCACCTCTGCTGCTTAGTAGCAGTGTGACCTTGGATAAATCACTCCCCCTTTCAGGACCTCAGTTTGCTTATTTGTTTAAAATGCAGGGTTTGGACAAGACGACTTTTTAGATTTCTCTGAAATCTAATATTATATATCTTTCTCTGTGCCCAGCAGTGTTCTGTATACAAAAGGTACTTAATAATTACTTTTTAATGTAGTGCTTTTGCTGGACTGTTTGTCTCCTTAATTAGATAATAAGCTCTTTGAGGACAGGGCTTTTGTCTATATTCTCTATCTCTTACCAGACATGGTGCTATGAATATGGTATACAATAATTACTGGTAGTGAATGAATGAATTGAGGAGGGGAGGAGTCCTCCAGTTAGAAGGTTGTACCCTTCCCATCCCCCGACCAGGTCTAAGCTCCCAACTATGCTGCTGGTGTGTAATTTGAGGAAGGGGAGGAAAGCCCAGAACACTGTCAACAACCCAGAGTTGGGTTGGAAAACAAGACTAGAGTTACTCATTAGCAGATCCAGGGGGTCAAGGGTTGAGGAAAGGGGGCCAGAGGCTGCAGTGGACAGAATTCCCAGAAGAGAGTGGTTTCAGGCAGCTGCCACCCTTGCACTATAGTCTTTGAGGATGTTCTACCAAATTTTGGCAGCTTTCTTTCACCTCTTCGGGATTCTCTATGACTCCATTTACCAGAGTTCTAAGCCTGATCAATTAAATCCTCTGAGAGTAAAAGGAAAAGAGGTATGGGGGCAGGGAGGAGGGTAATGGAAAGACAACAGGAGGGAATTAAGCAGGGCTTTGGTAGTCTGTAAAAGAGATTTTGAGGGACTTAAGGAGGGGAACCTGGGGGACATCTGGAGGCACAAGATGATATGGGGATAGTGGTGACAAGGGAAGGAGCTAGAAAAGAGGACTGAGACCATTAGAGGAGTAAGCCCAAAGGACTTGACAAATGAAAAAGCCTTCAGAGGGAAAGAAGTGACCTGGGGCAAGTGAAACAGAAGATCATCCCTAGTTCCTGAACCACTGAGGGATCAGGTTGAGGGAAGGGGAATACCAACTTGAAATTATCTGCAAAGGGAGAGTTTGTGATTGATTCCATTCCCTCCTTCCCCTGTCTTCCTCATCCAGTTCCCTGGACCCTACCTGGGTCAATGGTACTTCATTGCGGGTGCAGCTTCTACCCAGGAGGAGCTGGCGATCTTTGTCCCAGTGGACAACATTCTCTTCAACATGGCTGCTAGCCATGTTCCCCAAAAGCTCCAACTACGGGCCACCATCAGAATGTAAGTTGTGGGGAAAGGTATGCCATCAGGCACCTTTCTCTCCATTTATTATTTCAAGCCAGAAATTCCCAAAGTCAGAGTCTGACCTAAGGTTAGTTTTCTAATTGGGCTGTTCTCAGCTGCTAAATGCAGCTGACCTTTCCCCATTAGATAACTGGGATTCCATCATGGGCCCTGATTAGTCAGCCACCTAGTATCTTGACCTCTTTTGTTTAGCTGACTCTAGTCTCTAGTTCATCCCTGGGTAGTATCCTGACAGATACAAAATCTTTCTGCCAGCCCAGTTGTCTTCTCTCAGACAAAGAAAACCAGCTCGTTGCTGAATGGGTTGCATTAAATGGAAGGGAAGAGAGGATTGGTGAAAGGATGTATCTGTTTGTGTGGAGGGAAGGGTAACTTATTCCTCCATCCTACTCCAAACTTCCCAGGAAAAATGGGCACTGTGTACCCCGAAAATGGACTTACCATCTGACTGAAGGGAGCACAGATCTCAAGACTGAAGGTTGGTTACCCATTCTCCATATCTTTCCTTTGTGTCCTCCAACTCCCTTCCCACTTAGTTCTTCCCCTATCCACTCCCACTCCAATCTTTGCCACCCCCTACAACAGGCCGCCCTGATATGAAGACTGAACTCTTCTACAGCTCTTGCCCAGATGGGATCATGCTGAGGGAGACAGGACAAGGCTACCAGCGCTTCCTCCTTTATAGTGAGTGTCTGTGCAAAATAGGAGGTAGAAATTCTACAAGGGGATGGAAGCTGTACTCACTCTCCCACACTCATACCTGGAAAGAGCATGATGACATCACGAGAGGGGAGTGGTGCTCTGGAGGTCTATGATATCATTCCCAGAGATCTGGGATTTGGGAGCAAGTAGGTGGGAGTGTTTGTTGGGGGGGATCAGTATCATTCTTTCCCTTCCTCTCCAGACCGATCCCCACAACCCCCTGAAGAATGTGTGAATGAATTTCAGTCCCTGACCTTTTCCTTGAACTCAAAAGCCTTCCTGCAGACCCCCAGGGAGATAGGTGAGAAGACCTCTGAGATATCAACAGAGAGGGGTGGATTCTTCAAAGGGAAAGAGATGGGATTTAGGAAAAGGATCATGGCCAAGGGAATTCTGTGGCCATTGGGGGAGGGGGAGGTACAGGTCAAGGTAGGCCTCAGCCTCCTAGAAGAGATCATTTCAGAGTATAGGAGGTGGTATCTAAAACATAGGCCTCAGAATTTTTTTAAGAAGGGAGCCATATCCCTCCAAATTTTCCTTTTTCCTTAATTTTTCTTTCATTCTGTCCCCCTCTTCTGCTTCATTCCTACTCTCTTTCTCTTCCCTCCAGAAGCCTGTGAGTTGTCCAGTGACTAACCTGTGCCCTCTAGGGAGCTGCAGACTTCTTGCTGCCTTCAAGAACAATAAAGATGATTTTTCTGACTTTGTCTTTTCCTGGAGCTAGTCTACAGGCACCAATTTCACTCTCCTTCCCTACCCTTTTTTCCCTGAAAATAATTCACTGTCCCCAGACACCCAACTTTGGCTTCATCGTCGACAGGAAGAAGACCAGAAGCAGTGTTAACTTCCCTTTTGTAGTGGTATATTTAGGAAATCAGTACAACAGTGATTGCTCAGTGATCAAGCCTCCAAACACTAGATGGGCATGGGTGTTTCCCTAGGCCTCTGCTGTGGCATCCCAAGGCTTCTTGCTGGGTTTCCTGGAGCAGTGTGATTTTCCTTTGAATCTTAACTGGATCTCCAGTTCCAAGCACATCTTTCCTCAACCCACATTTCTGTGATCCATCAGCTTTATAGCTGACTCCCCTCCCCTTTATCCACTTAATGGCTCGGGTCCTAGTATCCAATAGATCCCCCGGCTTTCCCCTCCCTCTCCCAGGACCGAGAGGACAGTTCAGTTACTAGAGTCCTTATTCCCTGGGGAAAATACAAGGGGTGGAGGGAGTTCCTTTTTATTTTTTTTAATTGGGGGAGAGAGGAATAGCACTAAAAAAAGTGACAAATAGCTGGTGAATTAGAGGGTAACTCCCCCTACTTTGAGTGCCTAAGCCCTGTTGCAGAGGGGAGGGGGTCTCTATGGGCCCCTTTCCCCACCCTAAGGATCTCTCTCCCTTCCCTGAAGTCCTGGTGTTTCTCAATCCTGAGACAGTGCCCAAACACCAAGGTCACAGGCCCTCCCTTCCTTTAATGTCATCTTCCTCCTCTTTATCTCTTCCTTTTCCCCCCTCCCATTTGTATTCTTCTTCCTCCCTTGACACCTGGGTGCCCTCACGGAGACTCACAGCCAGTACCAGGGCCTGCAGAAGGCCAAAGAGGCAGGCAAAGTGAAAGGGGTGTGCAGTTAGCAGGGTGAGGGCCATGTGAAGTCCATGGAGGGTAACAAGGAAGGAGAGAAGCCCATGCAGCCAAAGCCCCAAAGGCCCCCGAAGACCTAAGGCATCTAGGACCAGGCGCAGGGGCTTGGAACACAGTCCCAGCAGAGCTGAAGCCAGCAGTTCCAGCAAATGCAGGGTCAGGTTGGTAGAGATCTGGAGCCACTCCTCAGAGCCCCCCAAGAACTGTGGGTGGGCCCCCAACCCTCTATTTGTTTCCCCCTGAAGCCAGCCCAGCAGCCTCTGGTGACGCCCTGCTTTCTCCACAGGAGCCTCAGGGTTGGAGGGGTTTGTTCCCCATTTAAGAAGTGTCCCTTGTCCTTTAGGATCTTCTGAGTTTGGGGCATTGCCTCCAACTGTGGGGATCACTCCCCTAGCATCCAGTTTCCTGGACTCCTCAAAGCTGGGCACATCCATGCTCAGTTTGGGGGAGTTCCTTCTGTTCCCCAGTCGCTCAGCAGCTCCATAGTTGGCAGAGTCCCTGCTCCATTCAGGGGGGGTCCCCCTATCCACTTGTCTCCTGGAGTTCTCAGCCTTAGGCTGGCCCCTGTCTCCCATAGTCTCTGGAGCACTGTCCCAGTCGCTCCCTGAGTTCTCAGGAGAACTATCCTCCCTTATGGGGCCGGGGCCAGGCTCAGGCAGGGGATCTTTTCGGCGGCCCCAGGAACGGGGCAGCCAGCCACCAAGACGTCGAAGAAACATTGTTTTGGTGATGGCCAAGGGGAACCCCCTAGACTTCTGGGATCTCCTCCAGTGTTCCTCTGACCGTCAGGCAGGAGGTCGGGAGAGGCTCCCCAGATGCCAGGTTCTGTTCCAGCTCCAAGGAAAGGTTCCTGTCTGGTCACTGGTAGTTCTGCAAGGGCTCCCAACTTTCACTCAGGTTCAGTTCCCTCCTATTAGGGTCTGAGGGGGCACTTTTCACTCCCAATAATGTTACTGGAGATTCCAGGATGCAGACTGGGGAAGCTATGGGCCTCCAAATTCATTAATGCCCCACAGAGATTCCAAGAATGCCTTGGGGTATAGCAAAGCCTCGCACTACCACAAAAGTCTTCCTGCTGTGTTTAGGATTCTGGGCCCCGTAAAGTGGCACCCCAAGTTTCAACTCACCAATGCCACAGCCCAAGATACCACTGGAAAATGGGCGATGGTGCTCCCAGGAGATGAGGCCCCTCAAAGTGTTCCAGGATCCACAGGTTCCTCAGGTTCCTCTGTATATAGAGTAGGAGAGGTGTATGCCCTGTAATCTGCTTCAGTGCTGTAGGGGAGGTCTGGAAATAGAAAAAGGGTGGTGTGGTCCACCCTCCTGAAAAACTCTTCTCTGGATTCAAGTTTCCCCCGCACGTTTTGGATTCGGGAGGTCTCAAAACCCCAGAATCTGTCCAGGCCAATCCCTGGGTCAGCAGCGGGGCCGGGACTTCGGCCAAGGTCAGCGGATGTTCTGTTGGGTGTCCGAGGGTCCAGTGACAGCAAGCGAGACCCCTCCCCCAAAGGAGGCAGAGGGAGCGGCCCAGACGTCCGGACCCCGGGCGCAGCGTGCCCTCCGAGGTCCCCAAGTTGGGGGTTTGGACCTCTGCCGAAGGCCGGAGCCGAACAGCAGACTCCGGAAGCAGCTGTGGCCGGGAGGGGGAGGGGAGAGTGAGGGGTGGGTCCTCAAAAGGGGAGGGCGGGGTGGAGGCGGGGCTGGGCCAGACAGACAGCTCCCCTCGTCCCAGCGTCGCACCTCTCACTACGCTACCCTGACTCTCCCAGTCCGCCAGCCTGTCCCTTCTTCATTGACTTGTCTGGCTCATTTGTGTCGCTCCCTCTCTACCATCATCTCTGCAGCTATCTCTGGGTTCTGGGTCTCTGTATTTCTCTGCTCCAGTGCATACACCTCTCAACCCCCGACCTGCTCACCAACACCACCACCACCCTGCCCCAGCCAGTACCGGCCTGGTGGTCTCAGTGACTCTGTCCTAGCTCTGTCACTCAGCCGCGATAGGAAGCACCCAACGAAGGAGAGAGAGCCAAATGAGTTCAGCCCAGTTTTAAGACGGGGGCAAGTTCATTTAGTGCAGAGGTGCTCAGGTCCATGGAGATTTCAGGAAGTCCCTGTATTTTTTAAAATATGTTTATAACTTTTAATATGATTTAATTTCCCCTATAATCTTATGTATTTTATTTTATGCATTTAAAAATATTACTCTGAATAGTACATGGGCTTCACTATGCTACCAAACAGGTACACGGCAAAAATTAAAAAAAATGTTAAAAACCCTTCAAGAGGAACTTATTTCACTCCTCTCTTTCTTCCTTTTCCCCAAAGGCCTTCATAATCTCTCCCTATCTCCATCTCCTACCATATCTTGCATTGTGCGTCCCACATACACACAATAATCTCTCCATTCTATCTCAAATGATATCTACTCATTCCATCCTGCCCAACCTTGAGACCTTCTGATTCTGATACTATCTTCTCTCCCTCACACCTGTTTTTCAGTGCCCATCCCAATCTACCCCTTCCCTATTCCAGATCCAATTTATTACTCTCCTCTCAGTCACTAAAAATCCTGGTCTCTACTGGAACTCTTATCTGTCTCAGCAGGAAGTGAATTCTGCAACATGAACGTTCATGCTAGTTTTCCTGTCTTCTGAATTCTTCACATTCATTATATCTTACAGTGCAATAGCATTTCAATACATTCATGCACCTCAATTTAGCTATTCCATAATCAATAAGCCCCTGCTTTGTTTCTAGTTTTTCACTACCACAAAAGGGCTTTTATAAATTTTTTTGTACACAGAAACTTTTTGTTCACTTTAAAATTCCAAACTTAATGAAAACAAATTATTTCCATTTTAAAAGTAGAATAGAGAGGGATGTATAAGAAACCATAAATTTCTTTACAACTTGCATTTTTATTAACATCTAATACACTCAATGAGCTCACTCTCCTAATTCCCACTCACACTGGTGTTTTGCTTCTTCCTGCCTGGTCCAAGAGGTAACATTGTTACCCCTAATGATAACTAGGAGATTCTAATACTGTTGCTCACAAGGCTCCATCACTTGGGCTTCTCAATGATTACTTTAAGACAGATTATATTAGCTTTTAAGGAGTATTTACTAAGTTGGTATAGGAAGAAAAGTCGGTATAAAAGTTTGTACAAAACCAATCCCCCCCAAAAGTCTGAGACCCATTCCTCCCACAAGTACAAACAGAGTCCATGGGGCAAGTGGGCATAAATTTAAAGTTCTCCATGGAATTCTCATGAAATTCCCCCAAGGTATAGAACTCTGCTGGGGCTCTGAGGGGTCAATGCCTTTGTAGAATCCATAGCTGGACTTAAACCCCACCCTGAAAAGCTGCCTTTTCTCAGCATGTTTTAGTTCTCCATACTCTCTGGTCTCCTGGCTGGAAACATTGTTTATTATTGGCCCAGTCTCTTTGATGACATAGTCATTGAGGTTGGGGGGAAATATGACACTACTCTTTTGTTGTCCTCTGGTAAAGGGGTAAGGAGTTCACCTCCTCCAAGACCTCCAGAATCTTGACTGCCTTTTTGCTTCAATCCTTTCTCAGTATCTTCTCAATATCCATAGATCCAGGGGAGTTTCTAATTCATTCAACCAATCACAATATAGTTTCTGTGTGTCGTCATCTAATTTTAACCATTGGATCAAAAAGCTCTTTACCTCTCTCAAATGGATTAAGGACTTGATTCAATCCAGAAGTTTGGCCTTCTTTATTTTACATTAATAGTGTAATAGGATGCTATCCACCTCCAGTGAAAGAACTGATGGAGTCTAAAGGCAGATTGAAGCACTTTTTTTTTAAACTTTATTATTCTGGGTGTTTGGGGGGTTTTTTGGTCTGCATTTTCTTTTGCAACATAGATAATATGGAAATGTTTTGCATGACTGCACATATATAATCTATGTCAAATTGCTTGTCATCTCAAGGACTGGGGAGGTGAGGGAGGGAGGAAGACAATATGGAACTCAAAATTTAAAAAAAAAGAATGTTAAAAATGTTTGTTTACATGTAATTGAGAAAAAATAAAATA